AGAGAGGCCCTTCGCCCGAACGATTTCAAGCTGGTATTTCTCATCAGAAGCGAGATTGCGCAGGGCCAGCGCCGCTTGGCATTGGACCTTGGGAGTGGATGAATCCATAAGATGAACTAATGATTGCACGAGGCGCGACTCGGTTTGGGCGAGTCGCTTGCGATTGGTCGAATCAACAGCGATATTGCTAAGAGCTGTTGTACAGTAGTACTGAACGTCAACGTCGGGGGATGAGAGGAGATGCACAAGCACGGGAATGGCGCCGGCATTGACAAGTTGCTGTCGGTTGTCATCTGGTCGTTGATGTTAGAGAAACAGCCCTTGGCCAGATGAATCAGTCGAAATCACTTACCCGAATGGGTCATATTGAGCAGTGCGCCCGTCGCATTTCGCTGGACACGCATATCCTTCGATTTGGCCAGGCGAATGAGAGGACCTAGAGCACCAGAGCGAGCAATCTTGGCCTTATTCTCCTCATGCGTCGCGAGATTGGTTATACATCCGACCGCATTGCACTGTACCTCGACATTGGGTGACATCATCTGGCGAATCAGGGGAGACAGCCCCCCAAGGGTGACTATCAAGACCTTGTTCTCAGCTGCACCGAGTTAGCGACCGTGTGGGGGCTGGGGAAGAAGATGTGTAACGGGAACCAACCATTTACGGCGAGATTGCCCAGCGCTGCACTAGCAGCCCGTTGAACTTCGATATCTGAGCTTTGAAGTAGGAAGAGGATAGGTTCGAGGGTATCGCGATCGACCTCACGCACATCTGAAGATAAGACGAAAGGTCAGTAATTGCATCATTGCCATCCGAGCGGCGATACACACCTCGTTCTGTGATCTCAGCGAAAGTCAAGCTAGCGCTTCTTTGCAGGTCAACGTTTTCTGAGTAAACCAGGGTACTCAGAGCCCGTAGTGGCTCGCCGTGGAAGAAGTCGGTCTCTGCGCGCTGTAGATTGTTGAAAGTTAGCGGTATGCTCGGGGTATGGCGGGTCCCAGGCAAACCAAGCCCCAGACTCCGATTCAGGAGAGGGAAAGGTAGCGATTTGGAATGATGAATTGTCTAGCACGTACGTTCTCCAAGTAGCCCAGAAGATCTGATACCGCTTCTCGTTCGTTATCGGCCAGGGTCGTTTCGTAGATACCGTCTCGAGAACGAGCTCCGATGGGACCGAGGCATGCTGTAATATGACACCATCTGTCTACTGCTGAAAAGCAAGACAGACAGGCAGTCGCGATTCCACTCATGCTGGCTAGCAAGCCCGCATCGGGCGCGGTCTAGTGAGGGCGGAGATAGAGGCGAAAGACAAGCGGTCGGGGCGAGATTAAGGGAGTTGAATAAAGGCGAAGCTTTGGAGGGAAACACAAGGGAAAGTCGCGTGATTAAAAAAAAAAAAATGTCACTTTTGGAGGGAAGCCTCCTGATGCTTGAAGGAAGGAAGTTCCAAGCGTTTCATTAAAGGGAGGGGGCGAGAAGAGAGAGAGAGAGAGAGATCGAACTAGTCTCCTCAGGCAGAAACTTGAGATTAACTGGGTTTCTACTTGGTTATCTATACATTTCTGATGGAATTGACTATTTCAATCGAATTCTTTTCTTCCTTTTTTGTATTCATCTTCACTATCTTCAACTGATGGATTTTAAAAAAACCATTCTTTTCCATTTTAACCAGCACCAGCTCCAACGCATACATCATCCCGGGGAGAGCTCTAACCTGACCAATCCGGAAAAGGGGATCAACTGCATCCAACCTCTCAAAGTACAAGAGTTAACAAGAGTGAGTTATACAACATATATATCTCTATATTAACTGCTTTATAGATAGATATATAGATATATATATATATAATAGGTTAAAATACTTCCTATGTCACTATCTCATTATTCTCAAATCGGGTTCAACGCCTTTTTCCTACTCGGCCCGTCTCCAATGCACTTTCCAGCCTCCCTTCCCCCCCGAGGGTCCGTGCAACGCTATACCAATCCACCTTTGCTCTTGTGATTTTACAAGTGACGCAGATGATCACCAGATAGAGTCACATATGGATAAGGTCATGTTGATTCTTTGGGGGAGATCGACATTTTCAAGAGGATCACATGGAATGTAATACCAACATAGCCCTGGAGATTGGGGAGCCTTGTAAGGTTTAACTAACTAGTTAACTAGTTCATTAGTTCATTTAATCAATTTGCCGGGCACTATTATTTATATATGTTTCAACATAGATCTAACACCTGGGTATGGTATTTGGAGTACATGTTGTGAAAGCATAGACCACTTGACTACCTAGGCATACATGCTGCCTTATGTTATACATGAAGTAAGGACGCTTAAATATGCCTCGGGCTAGAGCTGTCAGTCTATATAGTATGCATATATCAGTGTTACTTGGCAATACCGTTTAACTCATAAATTACTTATTACATTGCTCTCTCTTTATTTACCTTTTCCACATATATAGTAATATAATATTCTAAGTTTATACCTAGGTTAGGTACATGCCCTATATAACTTATATAACTAACTATGCCAAGTGTGATCAAAGTATGCGGGGAAATAACCATCTCCGCCAAGAAAATGCTGACTGTGGTCTTAATAGCCGATGGCAAATGGCAAATGGCAAATACCCAGAGACAAGAGACAGACTATATACAATTCAAAAAAAGGTCGAAACTTCTCAACTCTCCTTTTTCTTAAAAAATCTCTTCCAATCTGCTTAGTTTCTCTTTCACTTCTTTGTTCATCCTGCTTTTCTTGACTTTTTTTTAGTCTTTCCCAAGATCCCTATCCCCTTTATCCTAATCATATGATGTCTGGGTAAACCCCCATTGAATAGCATCAGCCCAGTTGCAGATCCCACCTGTGACGTGCCCTCTTTTGAATCTCCGGGGCACTATTTGATTGTCTGTTGAATCCTTTCATGGTCGCCAAATCGAATCCATGTCTACTTCAGTCACCGCCTCCACCTCCCTCCCTGACAGCCCTCGCCCCAGTCGCCTGCGCCGCTTCAGTTTACGAACCTACTCCCCCTTGCCTAGTGGGCAGCATTCGTATAGGCACAGTTTGAGTAGTCGAATTCCTTGGTTCTCAAACCCCGGCTCCATCTCTCCCACAGACTCCGCCGCTCCATGCCCTGAAAGTGACCATCCAAGCCTCTCTCGTTACACCTCTGCGCCCGCCCCGAGTTTCGGTTTTGGTACCGAACTTAATAGCCAAGTATCATCCACCGAATCTGCCGCTTCTACACCTTCCAACGACCCTCCCCAAAGACCCAATCCGATGGCACGCCTAAGAAGCGTTTCGTCCGTCCATCGTCCGCCACCTCGGACGTTAGAGCGTGCCAACAACTCCCAGGAGTCCACCCCGTCCCCTGAACCGGGCGCTGTTCAAAGTAATGCGACCGAACCCACCACCGCACCCACCAGCGCTCCTGCAGATGGGCAGGCGGCCCCCTCAAAATCGGAGACCAAGGCGACCATTCGGTTCTTCCCCTACCAAGATGCGCTCCAGAGTTCGAGGCCCTCGTTACCTTTCGCCCCAGTCGCCCGAACCCTGCCATCAGAGAGCTGTGTTATCCGTGTCGGTCGATACTCGGAGCGTGATGGTGTACCTCTCCCCAACCCGACCGAACCCTCGGACGCCCCCGTGGGGTTCAAATCCAAGGTCGTTAGTAGGAAACACTGCGAGTTCTTGTACGTGAATGGACAGTGGCACATCAAAGATGTTGGTAGTTCTTCGGGGACATTTTTGAACCACATGCGCTTGAGTCAGCCCAATATGGTGTCCCGTCTGTACTCCATCAAAGATGGTGATATCGTGCAGTTGGGTATCGACTTCCGAGGGGGAGAAGAAATGATATTCCGATGCGTTCGGATTCGGATTGAATGTAATCGATCGTGGCAACAGAAGCCTAACGAGTTCAAGTATGATTTTACCTATTATCCAAATTGTCATGTGTTGCTAACCAATATTCCAGCAAAAACACAGAAAGCCTTATTAAAAACTTGGGCAAGGGTGAGACGGCCGATTATTCGGGTTGTCGTGAATGCTCGATTTGCCTTGGCTCTGTCCTGGTTCGTTTCTTCTTTTCTTCCTACGAACCTTGCACCTACTAACTATAATGAAGCGGCCTTATCAGTGTTTGTTCATGGCAGCCTGCGCGCACGTCTGGCATTACAAATGTATCAGTCGTCTGATCCACTCCCCCGATTACCCAATGTTCCAATGCCCCAACTGCCGTGCATTCACCGATCTCAGCGCCGAGGTCGATGACTCGAATGACGCAGAGGAAAAACGAGAAAAGGAAGCGACAGAAGATAATGCATCCAATCACTCTTCTGAGCAGCCTGGAACGGAAGCGCCTTCAGCTGTCGAAACAAACAGCACAGAAGGACCGCCCGATCAGCTCGGAGATCTTGCCGAAGAAGAAAACTTGGCCAACGATGTGGAGAACCTTCATCTACAAGATGACCAACAAACGGATGACACTCGAAGCTCAGCCTCACCAGCGCCTAACTCAAGCACAGATGACCTGGCTCGCAGCGCCACTATCAACATCCCCGGGTGGCAACCGACGCAACCACTCAGTGTGCCGTCTGGTCGCCCATCACAACTACGCTCCGACACGCCAACATCTGACGATAACCCGTTGACTCCACGAAATGACTCGGGCCCTTTGGCTTTTGATGGCCGAGCAGGAATGCCGTAATACGTCGCTTCGGATCGAATTAATTTCTGGAAAACCAGGGCTTTGAGCATCTTAATACATATTTATCCTTATTTTTGGCATCTACATCTACCCTGCTGTAGGGGGTTATCATCTGAGCATTCTACGATATCAACATTGCAGGGAAGCATGTCTGCGTTGGTTTTCTGGGTGCACACTCCATATACACCGTTTGCATTGTTCAATAGCGCCTACCTCTATCATATAATTTGATTCGTCATGGCGCCCCAGCGTTCTATTTTCTCCTTCCTTTATCCCCTGGCCCAACCCCCACTACTGATACCCATTCGAGATCTGGACTGTTGTTTTGAATCTTGGCATATTTGATGAACCAAGAACATTCTTTCGTTAGCCTTTGGCTTGTTTTTAGTTATGACTAGATAATAACACGTTTGGTTTGACTCATCTACTCGTACCGGAGCATTTCCCCTGTCTGCCTACATACCTATGTAGGTAGCCCTGGAGGCCTCCACCTTGAGCGGATTATCAACCTCATGGAACACAACCGGAACCACACTTGAGAAGGTCCAAAGCTAGCAAGGTCATCAGAGGATATCCTGTGCTTCTTAGCGAGATACTTACCCTGCTTTCTACAACCTTCCAGTGTTGACTGTCAAGCTGGGTCTTGGGCCGATATACATCAAGTCGTTCTAGCCGGTTCTCGGCACCCCATATATCTAAGAGCGAAAGGACAAAATGCTTGTTGGCATGAATTAGTCGCAGAATACCAACACGGATTTTCTGTAATATCCATCTGACGCATGACGAAATATGTGCTGGGAGTGCCGTAGAGATTGAGGGGTATCCGATATAGATAATGAAGAGCTTCTGTACTAATCTTCTTATTGAGGAGAAGAATACATGGTGTATATCGCTTCACATAAGGTCGAGGAATGGTGCAAAGAGGACCACCGGCTACTGATGACCATTGGTCCCTCAGCTTTCGGTAGCATTTTACATATTCATTTGGGTTGAGCAAATGGGAATATATTATCAAGCGAATCTCGGATGGTAAATCAAGTAAGGAGGTCATGATCATTTGCAGTAATCAAGTTATGAAATGTTACCTAGGTAAGGTTATGTCTAAGTGTGTCCTTACCCCTCTTTGAGGCTCTCGATGGCCCCCTCGAGGCCCCATTGGCTGTGGCTGGAGTGTAACACAAGAGCCTCACACCAGTGTTGATTCCATCTGTGGACTTGTTCTCCAGCTTACGGTGATAGTCACTCGGAAAAGACGGGGAATATACAAATGATTCAAGCTCCATCGGCATGCCTAGCAAAATAGGATGGTTAACAATCACTTATTTCGTTATTGAAACAAAAACAGAAAACAGAAAGCTCCCTATGTATAGTTCCACCGAAGCATTTACCCATACTTCACTATAACTTGTACTAGCCGCTCAGTTGGAGTTTCACCCACTCATCAACAGTTGTAGGCTCCCTCCCAATCAACCACCTCAAAACACTGGGATTCCCTTTCAATCCACGCCGATTATAGAATAAAACCAACCTTTCAGCCTCATCCCTTGTGATATCAGGACGTGAATCTCCCTTTGAGGCCGGCCATCTCAAATCCGAATGCACATGATCCCCACTATACACGCCACTCTCCCCGACATACAAAAGCTTGAGAATCTTGCTCACGCCCTCTTCAAAAGTGGGGGTTTGAATCTCTATATTCTTACCAATATGCTCCCCAATAACCTTAATAAACTCCGCATCAGATACCGGGAGTGTCGAGCACAGCGGATACTGGACGAAATAGTGTGCTTCCCGCTCATCCAGAACCTTGGCCCCGGCTTCCGCCAAATCTCTGAGCGCAACTAAACTATTGGCAACATTTGGATTATAGATGTTCCAAATATATTCGATAGCCGGGCTATCTATTTTTGCGAGTGCAGTGGCTGGGTACACGTCCATGAAATTGGTTGGTTGGAGAATTGTGAAGTTCAGAGGGCTTAGTAGCAGTCTTTCTTCGACGCGGCTCTTGTGATCGTGCTGCATAAGGTTTCGATGCTGAGTGCCGAGAACGCTGGAATAGACAAAGTGCTTGAACTTCGTATCTGGCTTTTGGCTCTCGGCAACGGCTGCGTCGATTATGTTGACTCCGATTTCTGTCTCACGGGAGTGGAGTGAGGGGCCTACGTGGTAGACTGATGTTGCGTTGTTGAGGAGCTTGCGACATTCGGTGAGGGAGGATGTGTCGCATGTTTGCACTTCGGCTTCTGGATAGGTGGTTTGGAGACGAGAGGCGGATTCCGAGGTGTGGGCTGCTAGACGGAGTTTGAATCTGGATTTATTGTATAAGAGAGGAATCAGATGGGAACATTGTCTGCCGCCGGGACAAGTGATCACTAGTATTTCGCTCATTTTGATACTAACTGGATGGTTGTTTCGGAAGGGTTGTCAGTCAGAACGAAGGCGGAGTTATATATCAGGTGGAGGTCTGTACGTCAGATTTGCCCCCCCCAATGCAGCCGCACTTTAATTGGCTCAAATCTACGTCGAACTGCACTTTTTGCAAGACAGATGAGACCAGCAACACAGAAGACATAGGCAGATAATTCCCACTACAGCATATATTCTGATACCCAGCTTGTTACGATGAGCATAGCCAACTGTTTTATATACAACCACGTGATCAATAGCACTAAGATTGCCAAGTGGGTCCGGGACCAAAGAGTCGCTGGACCCGCTTTCAACCTTGGAATGTTGACGATTCCAATCTCCCCCGGATTACAGGGCTTGATTGAATACTAAGAGCCGAAGAAAACCATCTCCCGGGATCCACGGACAGGGACCAGTGTCACAGGTCAATCTGGGCTCGATCAGTCCAGACCTTGAACAAGATGAGGTTAAATTTCAGCGAGCCACCCACTCCGACCTTGAGTCGTCAAAACACTACAATACAAGGTCATCATCAACGGCGTGGTACTCATCCCCATCGGCTGTCATCGCGGGCAAAGCCAAGAAGGCAAGCTACCAAATCGTTATCTCGTAATCACCCACATATGCTAACGTTAGTTAGATGGCCGCTTGTCTTCCGCTTTATCAAAGGTGCCATCCATGGTGCCATATTAGTCCCGGTCTTTCTGCATGCTGTATTCACAGCTCTGATTGTTTACTTGGACACATACGTATTCGAGACTGTCGGTCTACCTAGCACTATCGTATGTATGCCCAGCCAACCAGAGAAGATATCAACTAACCATAACAAAAACAGATCCCATCTTTATCTATTGTCGTAGGTCTGATGCTTGTCTTCCGCAACCAAACATCCTACAATCGATTCTGGGACGGGCGGAACGGAATGAACACGCTCAACACATGCGTGCGTAACCTCGTCCGCACAATCGCAACAAATAGCTACAACTCAAAGCGGGGACCACCCACCGCCGCAGAGCGCGAAGATATCGAGCGTACTGTTCGAATTCTCATGGCTATCCCATATGCCGTGAAAAATCATTTACGCGCTGAATGGGGCGCTGCTTGGGTCTTTGGTAACGCCGTCGACGAGACTCTGAACATGCATCCGTCCACCCTCTATAACCCTGAATATGCCAACCTGTTACCTGCGGGCCTTGAGGGCCATGAAGATGAGGGATTAGGTCTCCCTTTCCAGTTGACTTTCTTTATTGATGGGTTTATCAAGCGTGGCGAGGAGCGTGGTTGGTATCCTGCGCCTGGTGCTAGTCAGATGCAGGCTCAGTTGAATACCTTAACTGATGCATATGGGAAGATGGAAACGATCAAGTTGACTCCGATCCCAGTGGCTCATTTGTAAGATTCATGACTCTGATGCGGGTTGATTTATGCTTGTTTGTTTCAATTACTGACTTTGAATAATCAGGATTCACCAAAAGCAAGTCCTTGCCCTGTTTGGCTGCGTGTTACCGTTTGCTATGGTCGATGAGATGGGATGGTGGGCAGTCCCCATTGTCAGCCTTGTGATCTTCACACTCTATGGTATCGAAGGAATTGGCTCGCAGTTGGAAGATCCCTTTGGCTACGACAGAAACGACATCAAGATGGATGCTATTGTCGGTGACTCCAAGACTGAAATCGATGTTGTTTTGGCTGAGTGGCGTACGCACTCGAAAGCTATGGAGGCATTGAAAGAACAGCCCGCTGGTGCAGTTCATGGTAATTTATGCTTAACGCCTGATCGAAATGAATCTGGAAACGGAAGTGTGGACGGGAAGTATACGCCTCCGGACTTGTTTTTGAGGTTGAGGCCGAGTACTGGTAGGTGAATTTTGGATATAGAATATCTATGGGATGTAAGTATGGTGCGATTCTCTACATGTATAGCCTTAACTTAACATTAGAAATATCAATGTATCGATGAACTAGAATGAAAGACCACACAATCTTCTTCATATACTGAATATACCCGACCTGGCTCGAGGCTGTCTAGTTCCACCGCAGGCAAGGACATTGAAAACGACATGGTGGGATGTGATTCGCCACAAATTGAATTGTTATAAGTACACACCTTTGGTCTATATCAGCCGGGTATCTAATGCGGTAATCAAGAATAGCTAAGCAGGTGCATCGAAATATCATAGAGGCGGCTCGAGCGCCAGAACGCCATCCAGTATTGAATCTGGCGTCACATCGGCGAGAACATCAGATACCGCATGTAAATTACTTCCGTACTGCAGACTGCGGTCTTCGCCAGGGGTGTGTGACGATAATGCGATGGCGAAAGACTTTCCTGGCGGCTAGGGCCACAATGGAAGGAGTCAGATAATCGATACCATGCAAAGGAGCTAGAAGTCTGTGGAGTAAAATCAATTAGATGAGCTAGGTTTAAGTGGTTTCGTCAAGGACATGTTTAGACTCACTGTGCAAATCGAGAAAATTGAATATTTGCATTGGCAGATACGCCACCTGCAACAGCACGACTGAGCCGCAGAAATACAACGATATCCTGGATGTATCGAACGACTTCTGCGTTCATGCTCACTGACGCACTTGTTTCCCGAAGTTGTTCCATCACCTGAGAGTCCATCAACCGGTATTAGATCGCTATGTTCAGTTCGTGGATTAACGTCAAACTTACCAACGGACTGACCGTAGTACTCTTCGGCTGCTTGGCCTTCGACTTATGAATAACAGAGGAAGCGGAAATTTGTCCATCTGACAGCCAGTCATTCTCTTCAAGATAAGTATACCCATCCTCTGGGCTGTGGAAATGAGAAATGAAGAGATTGTCATTCTACCGCGGCATTAGCTAAAATAGAGCAGCCAAAATGGGGACGTATAGAAAATACTTACCATGTGTGGTTTTAAAGGTGGTTTGAGCTGATCGAAATCCCGCGCCACAAGAGGGATGAAAAGGAAGTCCTGGGGTGCAATCAGGGTCCCGCTTTCGGTGACCAACTCCCTCGATCGCATTAACTATTCCGCTTGTCAATATTTTCTTTACTGAGTTGTCAATTGGAGTACATACCTGCAACATGTGCATTTGGATATCATCACTGACAAAATTGAAGTTCTTGGCGACTACAATATTGACAACATTACTGCTGAGTTGTGAGAAGGGAGTGGGCGATTTGCTGTAATCCCCGAGACTCTTATAGGAAGAACGTTTGCTTGACTGAGTTAATTAGCTTATAGCATTGAGAACCATAGCAGAAACTTGAAATATCAACATACTGATTCAGTGGTCAACCACGGACGCGATGGGCGATAGTTTGCGCGTGCATCCGGGGTGAGAACGTCATTGAAGATGTCGTCAATAGATGTTGCAGATGAACAGTCCAGGATACAGTATAAATAATTGAAGGTGGTTGAGCCGATCTGTCCTTCATTAGAGATTATCTCGATATTCTGGGTGCATTGACATACTAAGGCGAGTTCTTTGGCCAGGTCATTAATACAGTGGCTGGTAGTCTCAATCAAGCAATGTTCGCGGGCAACAAGGCACAGTAAAATGGCTACTTCAAGGTCAGATAATTGTCGAGCAATATCAGCAAGATCTGTATAGTCCATGATTTGAAAAGAGGACCAAGTTGGCCAATGAAGATGCAGCAACTATCAAAGAGAAGTCGAGGATTGTGGTGGGGAATTGCCGCCTGATATCCAAGGCGACAAAACCACCAGATTAGGTCTAGCGCGTGTGACCCCGTCCTCCCGATCAACAGCTCGAACATCCAACAACTGCCCAGGTAGAGGATTCAGTGCCTCATCTGTGATCAGATCCACAGTCATGCCACCCAATCCACTCGCAAACTGGGAAAAGGTTGGAGACAGCTTTTATCGCAAAATTGCCGTTTATGACGCCATCTTCGAGGACGACGTCGAGTTAGAGAACTACATTGTCGCGGGCGCCCCCTACGGAGGAGCTATTGGTAAGTCCCCATTTCGGAGGACCGGAGATCTGAACTAACATGGAAATCAGCGCTTTATCGCGACGAAAGCAAGCCATTCAGGCTTCGCGATGGACAGGGTTCCCGTTCCACAATTGATGTTTATTCATGCTCTGGACAGAAAATCAATCGTATAAACGTTTGTTGGCATTTTATGATTGAATCTTAAAGAAAATACTAACTCGTTTTAGTGGGAACAAGCCACTATTCGCGGACTAGGCTGGTCTGATAAGGAAGAGCTCCTGGTCGTCTCTGAGGACGGAACAGTGAGACGCTATTTCGGATTGGACGGCGAGTTTACATCCTTCTCTCTCGGAAATGTGAGACATAGTGAATTCCTGCTCTAGACATAATATAAGAAAACTAACAATGTAACAGGGCGCCGAAGAGTATGGCGTGAGAGCCTGCCAGTTTTGGTCATCAGGCCTCGTTGCATTGCTGTCCAATAATCAGCTAATTGCTGTATCCAAATATGATGAGCCGCGTCCGCGGCTCTTGGCACCTTGCCCGGAAGGCGAGGTATCATCATGGGCTTTAATTCCACCAGCCCATACACTCTCACGCTCTGTTGAGGTTCTGTTGGCCGTTGACAAGACCGTCTTTTTAATCGACTCAACAGAAGCAGAAGACAAGATTCTGCAAGATGGTCCATTCAAACACATCAGTGTGTCCCCGACAGGGCGCTTTGTCGCACTTTTCACCGCAGAAGGAAAGCTATGGGTAGTCAGCAATGACTTCCAAAACAAGTTCAGCGAATATGATTCAAAGTCTCGGGTTCCACCAAACACAGTGAATTGGTGTGGCGATGATGCTGTTATCCTTGGATGGGAAGATGAAATCCATCTCGTTGGGCCCAACGGCGTCGCCTCAAAGTGAGTGGTCCTTTTTTGTGTGTGTAATATCTGCGAGCACGATCTAATCATGCTAGATACTACTACGATGGCCGCGTCCATGTTATACCAGAGTTTGATGGAGTTCGTCTCATAACTAATGACACATGTGAATTCGTGCACAAGGTCGCTAGTAAGTTAACACCCCAAGGAAACAGCCAGATTATCATTGACAATTTCCAGGTGTCACCGAAGAGATATTCCGTCTTGGGTCGTCTTCTCCCGCTTCCGTGCTACTAGACTCGGTAGACCAACTGGAGAAAAAGTCGCCTAAGGCTGATGAGAACATTCAGCGCATCCGATCGAGTTTGCCATCAGCAGTTGACACTTGCATCAAAGCGGCGGGTCATGAATTCGACGCCTACTGGCAGAAACGCCTGTTGAAAGCCGCATCATTTGGAAAATCCGTACTTGAACTTTACAACAGCGATGAGTTCGTTGAGATGACTGAAAAACTACGCGTCCTCAAAGCATTGAGGGACTATAAGATCGGGCTGCCATTATCATACGAACAATACCTGCGCCTCACACCGGAAGGACTTGTCGAACGCCTAATCAACCGGCATGAATATTTGCTTGCAATAAGAATTTCGGAATACCTACAGATTCCTGCAGACAAGATCTATGTCCATTGGGCAAGCCAGAAGGTGAAGGTCTCGACTGTTGATGACGAAGCTGTATGCAAACTTATTGTCCAAAGACTCGACGGAAAGCCGGGGATCTCGTTTGAGGTTATCGCGCAAGCGGCTTATGACGAGGGTCGATCTCACCTAGCTACCCAATTGCTCAATCATGAGCCACGAGCCGGCAAGCAAGTTCCTCTGCTTTTGAATATGGAAGAAGATGAGCTTGCTCTTGATAAGGCAATTGAGAGTGGTGATGATGACTTGGTGAACTACGTGCTTCTGCATCTTAAGAGCAAACTTCCTTTGGCAAGCTTCTTCCGAATGATCAACACCCGACCAATGGCTTCCGCACTTGTGGAGACTGCTGCACGAGACGATGACATTGAGCTACTGAAAGACTTGTTCTACCAAGACGATCGACCCATTGATGGCGCTAATGTGCTACTATCAGAAGCATTGCGCGATACGGATGTGACACGCCAAACCGAGAAACTCCATCTAGCATCTCGCCTCTTGTCGGATTCCAAGGAACCTACAGTGGTACTAAACCAAAAATTAGTCTCCGAGGCCTCCCAGCTTTTGAAAGCCCAAGACGCATTGGATAAAGACTTGGCAGACCACAGCGAGTTCCTTGGTCTTAGTCTCAACGAGACAGTCTACAGACTTGTCCGAGGTGGTTACGGTAAAAGAGCACACAAGATTCAAAGTGAATTCAAAATGCCTGAAAAAACATTTTGGTGGTTGAGATTGAGAGCTTTGGTGGCTAAACGTGATTGGGGCGAACTGGAGGAAATCGCTAAACTCAAGAAATCTCCAATCGGATGGGAGGTAAGACAGTCGAGAATCTTAAACTACTGGAATAGACGCTCACACAAGACAGCCTTTCTACAACGAGATTTTGGGTGCTGGAAACACAAAACTTGCTTCAGGATTCGTGCCAAAGTGCACCCACTTGCCCCCTGCTGAGAGAATCGAAATGTGGGTAAAGTGCGGTATGATCGTGAAAGCCGGAGAAGAGGCACAGAAGACTAAGGACCTTAACACCCTGGAACTCCTCCGCACTAAAGCATCTGGCCCCGCGGCCACCGAAATCGAGCGCATGATCAATCAACTGAGGCCAAGGAAATGAGCTCGCCAGAATGTTCAACATGTATCACACAGGCCCGCTCTAGGGTTGTTCAGGTGATCTCGTCGGCTTCATCGATAGTCGTAGAATCGTCAATTGCAGGATTGGAGTTTTCAGTTTCAATTTGGAAGACGTTCTTTGCGACAGGAATCGTGGAAGGTGCAGAATCTTCGGCCATCGCCTCGTCATCCTCGTCGTCCTCGTCGTCATCTTGTGCAAGAGCGGTGAACGCCAAGGTTTTGCGGTTGGTATCTTCCCAATCAGCCTAATTCAGTGTCAGCTCCTGTACGCCAGAACGAAACGACCATCTATTTTCATACTCTTCGGGAGTTGACGGTCCTGCCGCGAGCCAGACTTTTAGCCTTCTTGATTTCCAATTGATCCATCACGGCCTCGGCTCGGTCCATTCCCTTCTGTTGCCTTAATCGCTGAGCCCTTGAAATCTTGTCATTCTTCTTCTGCTTTTTCTGGATACCGGAAGTGGCGCGGTCAGCCAGAACCGAAGGCCTTGTTGTGGTAGGAGATTCCGCTCGGGGAAGCGAAGTCACCGACTTGTCAAGGTCAAGACTCGGGGACGCTGCTCTCCGTGCTGCACGGGAACGCTGGGACTGGCCTATTTAAATATTAGACACTCAAATATCAATATATCCGAGATTCGTAGTCAACTTACTTTTGCTCTTCGCCATGGTTGCTGTTTTGAAGAATTATCAATCTCCGTGGGGTGAAATCGCTATCGATAAAAAAAAAGTTTACGGCAGACCAAGCCAACCAAAAGTGCACCTTTTCCGCGCAAACATGTATACCTGCATGTCGTCTTCTGCACGCGTCTCGACACTCTCACGTTCTCTACCAATCCATGCTGATGCTCATGCTGGCAGATTTTTCTTGCCACATATATCCTTCTGGCTTCATTGACAATGAACACCCGCGACGGGCGCTCTGAGATCTTTTCCAACCGCCCCGATCAGTACGCAAGCCGCAACAGTCATTATGAAACCGCCCTCACGACTTTACAAAACAATCAAGCGCTAGCGTACATCTTTATTGCTCTCATCTCAGTTCCTGTTGTCCTTAGTTACCTCGGACTTGTTCCCATATCGCTATTCCAGCTCCCCTGGGATCTCATTGTCTATTTTACACCCTCTCGAGTCGTTATCACTTTGGACCCTCGCATATCGACCTCCGATCCCAACTCCCTAGCCTTGTCGTCTTTGACCTTCCAAGATAAAAGTGACGCGATGAAACGGATTCTTGGCCTGGATAACAACGCCTACTTCCCCTTCTTCTCTCGGTCAAGATCACTCTCTATATTCGGAAATGCGCTGCTAGGAAACACCCAGGATGTCACACCTCCGGGGCTTGGAAACTGGAACAACTCGTGTTTCCAGAACAGCATCATACAAGGATTGGCTTCTTTGAAGTATCTCTCTGAGTTTCTGGGACACAACGTGGACAAGCTCTCGGGGAAGACATCCGTCTCGACCCACAAGGCACTACTAGACCTCATCGACTGTTTGAATAGCGCCTCCAAAAGTGGAACCAAACTGTGGATCTCCGGGCCCCTCAAGTCCATGAGTAGCTGGCAACAGCAAGATGCACAAGAGTATTTTTCCAAGTTGCTCAATCAAATTGACCATGAGGCCGAGCTGTGCTCACGCGGAGAGACTTTGAACATGGGATTGAAAATTGCAGGACCCGATGAGAACATATTTAGAGACAGCGACTGTGACGACCCGGTGACGCCTTGGGAACCCGAATCGCTCCCATCGACGGATAAGCTTTATCTTGATAGGGTTTCATCTTGTAACCCTCTCGAAGGTCTACTCGCTCAACGGGTTGGGTGCATGGAATGCGGGTGGACTGAAGGGCTCTCGTTGATACCTTTCAACTGCCTCACTGTGCCTTTGGGGAAAAGATCTTCGTACGATGTTCGCGAATGCTTGGACCAATACATGACGCTTGAGCCTATTGAAGGCGTGGAATGCTCTAAGTGCACGCTGTTGCACCGACAAGAGCAGCTTATCAACTTGATCAAGGGATTTGAGGCCGATGAGAGTCGATCAGACAACCCCGACGAACCTCAACCCTTCGATGCTGTGAAAATGTCAGCCTACTCGCGGTTGGAGGCTGTCAAGACGGCTTTGGACGCCAATGATTTTAGCGAAAACACATTGGCAAAGGAATGCCATATTAACTCAAAGAACCGAATCTCAACCACTAAATCTCGACAAGCCGTCATTGCGCGGGCTCCTCGCTGTCTTGCTATCCACATCAACCGCAGCGTTTTTGACGAGTATACTGGGGCGTTGGAGAAGAATCTCGCGGCAGTGACGTTTCCTCAAATGATTGATTTGAACAATTGGTGTCTTGGCACCCAAGCCGCTGGCAAATCTGGCGACAACCCTGAGCATTGGGAAACAAACCCTTCGCGGTCCATGCTTCCGCAACCTGGCGAATCAATTCAAGTCCCTAGCAGGCAATATCAATTACGCGCAATCATCACCCATTATGGCCGGCATGAGAATGGACACTATATCTGCTATCGCAAGTATCCGACATCGGAATTCACAGCTCCCGCGCCGGACGAGATCCTTCAAGCTGAGGGTGATAAGGACAAGCCTGAGCGTTGGTGGCGCCTCAGCGACGATGACGTCCAGATGGTTAGTGAAGGTCATGTGATGACCCAAGGAGGTGCTTTCATGCTGTTCTACGAAGCTGTGGATGATTCTGTATCACCGTGTTCGACTCGATCTGCGACCCCAGAACATGACCTATACGACAGGTACGCAGAGTCTGCTCAGGTTGGAAGTGAAGACTCGTGCAACTCGGCTATGTCAAAGAACATTTCCACTCCGTCTACTGTCACCGACTTCGAATCTGCCACTTCCCGTGAAACCAGTATTTCATTGCCGATGGATGACTTGCTTCCTACCGACCAGTCTTTGAAAGCCCCAAACGTGATTGGCACTGATGCTGAACGGAATGATAAACTGGAATCCCCTTCTACAATCGTTGCATGATCACCTCTTCATGTGTTTGCTTACTTTTTTTTTGTTTTGCTTTGCCCGCATAGTCGTGCCCTGTGGCCGGCTACTGCATCATCATGATACCCGATACCACGATCCATTTAAGGCGTTTATTTGAGCTCCGCTGTTTTTGGGAGTATTTTGTGTAAATTAATGTACCATTAGGGGGACTCAATGCGAGAATTGACTTATTGAAACGATACGTCTCGATTGGCTTTAGCCTGACTGTAATTCCGTAGGCTCGTTCACCACAGCTTGGCCAACACCGAGCTCTAAGGCTAGTATCGACGTGGATGGTGATGCAGGTTTTGGGGATAATTGGAGATAAGATCCCCGCATTTAGATATGAGCACCTTGTGAACAGCTCGGGTGGTGGTCCGGAATCACCTCATTCAGAGTACCTTGGGGCCAACCATAGCATAAAAGTACAACGCTACTTTTCTCACAGAATTGAATTCGCAACTCCTTTTTAAAACTTCGTTTTACATTTAGCGAGTTCTACTGACAACCTAGCAATTCTGACGCAAACTGAATCTGCTTGTTTCTCCGACGTTGGATCTTGGGAATTGCATCTGAGTCCGTATAGATCCCGAAGGTCCCCCGGGGTCCTCATTTCGTATCTGATCGTCATAGGGTATGATATTGTCCCCAATACTTGATAAAGCTGGTTCCTATTCTAATTCAGCAGAAGTATTCTAACCCATCTTCAATAATGTCTATCACCAAACCCTCACAACCACACGACATATTCCTCATCAATGAGCTACTGGAGAACATTCTTCTACATACAGATATGAGAACTCTATTAACATCTGCTCAACGAGTATCTCGCGTTTGGAATACCATGATCAAAACATCCGTCAGACTCCAAGAGTCCCTTTTCTTCAAACCCTCCAGAATTGAAATCTCGGATCCCTCACAGCGCCTTCGCAATCCGCTCCTAGAAGATGTCCTCTGGGCTCAATTCTTCCTCAAGCAACAACGAACCTCAGAGTCAAAGATTACCGAAGTAAGCAGATTTCCATTGGGAGAACCTGAGCGTCGAAAGCTCAAGTTCTACCTGCGAAAAGACGCCAGTTGGAAACGAATGCTGCTTCAACAACCACCTACATCATCAATCGGAGTCCTTGAAATCATCAAAAAATCAGACTCAGAATTCAGCAAATTATCTGTCAGCCCAAACGAATTCCTACGGATGGGCCACATCATGACTCTTCTCGAAAGAGGCAGCACGCTTGTTCCAACGCGCAACAAATGGATAATGTGGAGCGGACGATCCCGTATAATGCCCTTGAATTTCGAATGCTGGACACCCAAATGGGTATATGAACCAAGTACCTTACGACCAGTCCAGGAATGGATCCCGGAAAATATAGACTGGGATAGTCTCCGGCTGGAGGTGGCATCGATGTATTTGAATGATTTTGATTGTGGTGTGGTGATTGTATCTGAACGGAGACAGATGCTTTTCCAGGGTGAGGATCGAGTGCACAGAGAGAGCAAGCTCGATCGTCGGTTAGAGAAAGCGTTTGGGAAGTGTCAGGTGGAGGTTGGAAGGAAGCATATAAATCACTCTTGGATACCTATCAAAGGTGTTGGTGCTGATCGGAGATGGATCCTTAGGCCCTGTTCTGCTACTCCTCTTGTTCCGACGCTGAGTGACTCGTCTGAGGCTTCAGATTCGTCTTCTATGTCTTCATTTTCTTCGTCTCTCTAGGAGGGTCATATTAGAAGGCCCTACACGAACGGGCGTGTATTTAAACTCTATCAGAGATAATTTCGAATGAAATATATTCAAATATTGCATTCATTTCAACACCAGAAAGACAAAAGAAATTCAGGCCCACTCAGTATCCTCTCTAATCTATCAGATCGATGACCTCAATTCTCTTACGGTTTCCGATTGGACCTAATACATATTGGTCAGTGGACATTCAAGCAGAGTGAAACTAGCTTGCCATGCATATATCCCACTCGGGATGAGGGTTAACTGCGTTTAGAACGTCGGGGTTATCGAAATCTTCGGGTTGTGGTTTGTTGTCACTCATTTTGAAGGAGAAATTGAGAATACCAGATGTGGTTGAAGCGGTTCACGGCAAGTGTGAAGAGAAAAAAAGAAAGAAGAGAAGTTGGTCTTTTTTATAGAGCACAATTATCTAGCTTATTTTCTCTCAGTAGCAATGATGGCAAACAATGACAATAGACAAAGAAATGAATGCTACCAAAACTGAGAATGGTGAAATTGATACTTCTAGACAGAGACCATACTGGGGAGATGGTCGCCATGAACTACTTGGGTGGTTGAATAAATTGATCTATAGTCAACTGGGACTGGCGAATATATATACATTGATTACAACAACTTTCGAATATGGTAACATACTTCAACTATCAAGATGGTATCCATGGTAAATCAAGATGGTAATAAACTAGGGATATACCTGGGGCTTTATGAACCTTTTTGCCTTTATAGCATATATAGCATAACTTTGGGAAAGGTGACATATAGCTGAGCTTGGCTTAAAATAAGCGTCTTGTGCCCCACTTCAATTCAAGAAATAGGGGAGCGTTTGAAGATGTTGCGCTAGCTTGGCACAAAAGAGGGCACAGGAGAAAATAGAGCGAGAGATGAAGCTAGGCACTCCTTCGAGGCTAAGCCAAAACAATGTCGGTCGCAAATCCCAACCGAAGTCCCAACCCTCATCTCCCAAACATCTCCGACAGCTCAAATTTTAGGTGCATATTTCAAAGAGCCAAATAGGAAGGAAACACAATTCACCGCCAGTCTATCTATCCGACCCGTGTATCAGGGATAATCAGCCAGGCAACGAACCCATGTCATTTTAGCGCGACCAGGATTGTCACCACGGGATAACACTATCAACGACCCTGTTCGGATATTGTCCATCCTCACTCGGTCGGGCATACGATTTTGCCAGCCTGTACGACCAGGATGTTACTTTTTTTTGCTGTCAAAATTCACCGTAGCATCTAGACGCGCAGAGCGCGGATGTCAGTATCCAGTGTAGATTGAAACGTTGATGCGCCCGAAGCATTCATGCCCGGCATTGTACAGGAACAACGGCTCGACAGGACAAAGCAATTGCTGGCTAGTCTAAAGTAGGCAAGTCGAAGAATTGCAGTGAAGACACATCGTGTACAATGTTGATGCGGGTCCACGGCCTACGGCAGTTTCCCTTCGGCTTTGGACATATGTGGGTGCTGCAGCGCGGTGTGTCGAAACGTTCTCGAAACTAAACCACCGGAGGTAGAATGATGATTTCCGTTCATGAGACGGAGACAACCCCCTGGCTTGTTTCTGGTTGATGTTTGTTCCGTCTTGGGAATTTCCTAAAGCGTGTCGGGGAAAGCGACCGTGGCGATAGCATATTACCCGGTCGCAAATATCGGTCAAGGCAGATAGTCTTACGCAGTAATCTACAGGCTGTGAGTACGGAGAAGGTACTCCGTACAATCTTAGTTCTGACTCAAAGAAGATGATTTGATTGGAGTCAGCAGAAGAGATAATGGCAATCCCTTTTATCCAATGGCGATGGCTGCTGTGGCGGTCTCAGAGATGGACAGTCTGATCTCGCAACCATCACAATGTTGGCGTCGGTCTAGATTATGGGCCTATGACTATGCTATCCGTGCGGATCTAACTGATCCTCGCACTGTCCCTGCGATGAATAAGGGGGCGTTTAATGATCTGGAATATGATGAAAGTTGACTGTTAAGCAAACCCCATGGACACGTCTCGGGTACACCGTCAACCCGCCACTGCCATCACACCCTTGTCGATCGATGCAGCCGAGACCGCGGATGGTGTCCCGGAAGGATCTTGGGTTACTCACACTGCAAAAAAAAGGACCGTGTACGTAGCTACTGCGTACTTACAGAATGTGCTATCTCACATTCTTCAAAATCTCCGCTGGCGGAATGTGGGTCGGGACCCCATGGGGTGGATGTGTTTTCCATGGTTCAAAAATATCTTATCTTTTAGCGCCCGCGGCATCAACCCTGGATGAGCTGCATCTATCGAGAATTCGTGCAGATGTGGCAAACTTCCAAGGTTGCAAAAAAAAGTACCTAGAAAATGGAATTAGGTGGCTAATGAGTCGGTGAGTCAAGGTATCAGAAGTTGTTTCTGTCAGATTTAATTTTGACCGTTTTACTCATGTTTACGATTTACAGAGGCTAGACCTCGGTCTGAGTTGATATAACAGAATAGTGATAAATTGGAGGATTGAAATATGTCATACCTTCTAGACAGTGTGGATTCAATATTCAACCTCTTTTCTTCAGCAGTGCTATTCCATTATGTATGCAAGAGCAGACCCGACCGTCTGTATCCTTGCAATTTTAGTTCAGAGATCTTGCATGTGAACTGCATGTGAACTGCATATGAGGTGCATGGTATAAGCTGTAGGGAAACCCGGGAAGGGCTGGAAGGGGCCTGTGTGGATCTGAGCTCCAATGCATCTTTTACAAAGGGGCTAGAACTGACCACACAATTCAATATGCAAATCCAGCTCCTTTCCACCCTGCATTCACTTACGTTGTTCATACTTCGATCCAGTCTACAATAACCAGTCCACCAATATGTACGTGTAAACTCTACATTGTATGGTTTGGTATTTGACCCATGCTGGGTTTAGTACAGCTGGAGATAAAACATAGCCGAGGTAGAGCCGATAGACCTCGCTCTCGGGTTCGCTCTCTGAAACAGAAGTTCTGTGCCCAACATACCGAGTATTCTCCGGGAGATTAACGTGCTTTCAAATCAATACCGGAGCTCAAGCATCCCAGTCCCCCGGGCGGAGCCACCTGTCTCCACTGTGAAACCCAGGGGACAGGTAACAGGGCATGCATTGAAAATCCATCAAAACACTAAGAGCCTGGAAAGGGGCAAATATTGAACGCGACGCGCGACGGATCGTGAACCGCGGCCCGCCTCCCATCCAGCAAGCTTCACATGCTGCGTGAACTACAGAGTTTGCTCAATATGATCATCGGGGGTGGAGTACGGAGTAGCCGGTTCAAAGGCGTTGTACCGCAGAGCTGTCAAGTCGATCTGAATTTGATTTCTTGGGTCTGTCGCCGAACCCCCCCCGCTTGACCCCTTTCCAAACTTTTTCTCAGGTTCCCCGGCGGGCCGGGACGCGGAAGCATCAATTATGGGGTGGGAGGACGCAGGAGACATTGGGGGGGGATTTGCAATTCACATTCCGTTGGCGCTGTCGGGGAATAGATATGTATAATTGCCAAAGTACTCTTGCGATCAATCAGTAGGGAGTTATACATCTTAAGTGTCCTGGGATATGACGAGTATAATACGGAGTAGAGCTGACGATCATGTGCCTGAATAGGGAGGGCGAAAATTGGTCGTCGGGACACCCAGGATCACGGATTGACCCACTTGGACCGGGGAAGAGCGTCACATTCTTCCCCGTAGCCATTAGGCTTGCATTAAGCAAGTCATCTGGTGCATCAGAAAGATCATAAAGACATAAAGATTGACAGATTGAACGGAAAGGGGCATGACATTCCGGGGGACAGATCTCCAAAAAATGGTCGATTTGATAAATGAGAAATGTCGTTGTTATGAGTGGTCTAGACTTGGACGATCTAGACCGACTCAATATTCAATTTATTGATTTGATTATTTAATTGATTTCTGAACAAAGAGCACCCACTAGAGCCTCGGTGTGACTGCGGGGTGGCCTGTGATTTGTGCGAAAATTAGACCGGCTCTTCCTCGGGATTAGTTCGATAAGGGAATCGATTAGATTTTGGCAGAACATAGAACTTAACACTTAATCCGTACTCCGTACGGAGTTGAACGGTTGTATATGGCGGCAAATTAAAAAATGCCGAGGAACTGCATTTATCCGCTCCAAAGCCGGCGAAAACAGGCGGGAGAAGTTCCGAGGTAGTGAAAACCGTTAGTTTCGAATCCTTTGGCCGTTCCCTTCTCATTTAGATTGTAGACTAAGGCTTCTAGACTGGAAAATGGAATCCTCGACGGACTATAGACTGGGCCCGAGTGTGGAGACACGGGGAAACTCCCTACTACCCAACTCCGTTTAAAAGAACGAGAATAGTTCGTTCTCCCGTGGATGTGAAATTTTTTTCTCAACTTTGCACAAGTACTTTCGATTATCAACGGTGTTGACGTGTTGAACCGTGACCGCCAAACGCCCATCAAACTTGATTCCTCAAAACGCTTTGGCGTTCGAAGATTGTGTTTGGGTGCATGATTAGGGCTGCAAATTCCAGTTAGGCCTGCAGCTCCCGCGACTTTTGTTCTCCTCCCCCCGAACGAAGCGGTGAATCCGAGGCATGATCATTGGAGAATTATCATCGCAACTGGAAAAACACTCCAAACAATCCGATTTTGAGATTAGACCAGATCTTGAGGTTTCTCATATTGTTGGGCAGCCCTTTCGGGGAAACCTCGATCTCCTGCCGCAAGGGGGAATTGTGGCAATCCAAGATTTGCTGATATCAGATTCTCTTGACCTTATACAATCTACATTATACAAATATCTGTGTCAGACTTGTCAGAGTCGGAGACAGGAAAAAAAGAAAAAAGCAGCGCTAAACCGGGGATCCGATCTTTCCCCGTGTGTCAGAAACCCAGAAATTTGATACATCTGGAAATTGTCAAATAAAAAATAAAGATAAATTTCCTTTTTGGGATTTATTATTTATTTTATTATTTTCGTTTGGGTCGATCAGTTCTTCCAAGGTTCCAAGGTTGATCGACAGCCCTTTGTTTGCGGAAACCTCCTTCCGCCTGATTGTTCTGATTTATTTTTTTTATTTATTTTATTCTTTTTCTTTGTTTTATTCCTTTTTTTTATTTTTGGATTACCCGTTTTGGGTTTTTTCATTATTTCTTTTTCCTTTTCGGAATTTGATTTTCTCGACTGCAAGGGTGTCGGGAAGTCTAGAAGTCTTTCCCCGGCTTTGATCTTTTGATATCTATTTGTGTGTGCCCTTCTCACCGATCATTGATAAACAACCCTCCTCGACCCTTCTTCATTCTTCACTTCGCCTTACACCTTACACCCTTCACACTGTTGTCTCTCTCACCCACTGGGCCCTGGTATTACCAACCCTTGTCAACATTTACTCAACATATCCGCCACTATGATTCCTATTCAGTCACGTCTACATGAGATGTCGCTCCCCAAGGCGGCGGCTCCTATCGCCAGCACAGATCCAGCACAACCCACCTTTGCCTGGAGTGGCAGCGCATCTTGTTCCATGTCAAGTCCTTTCGCCCCCCCACCAACTCCCACCGATTCTCTCCTCGATATCAGCCCACGGAAGTCCTCTTTCTCGAGCGAGATGGGAGCAGCATATGCCTTCCCCTCATGGCCCAACCGCCCCTCCCTCTCAAGCAACAACTCCGCCGATTCATGTGCCAGCGCCTTTCTCTCTGACGACGACCTTCTGTGGATGCCAGAGAACTCGGCCGCTGAGCAAGCAGTGGATGAAGCCATTAACCAGGACGCCAGTACCATCTGCTCCGTGACCATGGAACAGCAACTTCAGCGCCTCCGCGCGATCGCCGAACAAGAAGATCGGGCCAACTTCCTCGCCAAGGTTGAAGCCCACGCCCGAGCAACCCACGCCCTCCGTACAGCAAAGCAAAGCGTTGTGGCAGAGCGCGAGACATCGAAGCGCAAGAAGCACCGCGTCGCACCCACTCCCAAGCGACGCGCTCACTCGGCATCCAAGGTGCTCAGTCAATAAGCTCACCGGTGATTCCCGGTGCAGCGCAGGCGCTCTCCGAATAACGCCACATTCTCTTCATAATCATGTCATTACCGCGCCTTATCTTTTAATTTCACCCCGCATCTCCCCGAGGGGTGCAGAGACCCACACCAAGCGGTGCCTAAACTCGATTTATTTTCCTCTTCAACCGTGTTACCCGCGAGATCGCCTCATTCACTACTACGAATCAGACCAGCAGCCCAATCTGCAAGCAGCACAACATGCCATGGTCGATCGTCAGCCACATCTAAGCTTCACCGGGTGGTATTTTTATGAATGCGACCATACATGGGCATGCACGGGCCGACTTCGGGGTCCATCTGGCTATCCATGGGTCCATTTCCCCCCCCGCGCTTACCTAATATCTCGCTGTCGGCGCTTCCAGAAATCCCACTGGGGCACTGTCACCTCTTGTCACCTCCGTCCTCCTTGTCCTTTGCACACACCGCTGGTTCATTTGGCTCTGACTCATTTTCCAACTTTCCCATTTGTTCTTTTTTGTTTCTTTTTTTTTTTTTTTTCTTCCCTTTTCAGCGAATCCGTTATTCCCCCAATCCCACGAGGATCATGTTTTTGCATGGAGTTGCAGCGCCTGATTCAGTCATCATTTGACCTTTTTTGCCTACCCTCAGGCTTGCATCCATGGGGACCCGGTGTTTTCTTTTTTTTCTTTTGAATGTTCTCGGTTTTTTATGAATCCGTCTTTCCTAGCGCTTTGTTCAGATACCCCGTCTTGTATACCCCCACCATTTGTTTTTCATTATCTTCGACGATTTGTGATATTTTGCGATTTCCGACAGCACCCCAGGTCTGTGACCTGTTATCGGAATATTGCCCCCACGTCCCATATCACATTTGTCAATAGCCGTTCTTAGTACATTAGGTAGCCCAACTAAGCACATTGACCATATCCCGAAACAAGAATATCCTTCCAAATTAAAAAGTAAAACCCACAATCTGAAGTAAAACAAGAACAGTAATCCTATTCAGCATCCGTAAATCCAACTATGCATCGAATTTTATGTTACCCGCGCAACCCCTACCTCAGCCAAGTGCTTGCCACGTTGATGTAGATGTAACCTACTGCCCAAGATGTACACATCCTTGAAATAGAATAATCTCACAGCCGATCGTCAGCCCTGCCCGCCTCGTGTCCCCCGCTTGAGTAACCGCCTCACCTCGGCCAAATAGAGCCGGGAACCCCGAAACTGTGAGGCTGTAACAGCTTATTGCTGCCTATGTATGACACGCGGCCCTGCCCTGCTGTCGTCGTTGCTGGAATGCAACAGTGCAACCGTGAGACCTGGGCATTGGGGTGGTCTTAGTAATCGATGGGGCGAAGTGATTGATAATCATGGGACCTGTGTATACGGGTGTATATGCACATTAATGTTTAATTAGACCATCGGAGAATATCGTGAAGTTACGGTTGTTGTTAGGCTGCTTTAGTCATACTTGGGGTCCCAAGATTTCCCGATTCCGATCTTGTTCGCTTCCAACTTTTAGCCGGGATTATTCGGCTATGGTTAAAAGTGTATACCCGGAGTAGGTACTATGTATGGGACGCTTAAATGCCACTGGTATACATGATAGATTTTACCGCTATAATCCTTATTTATCACAATTATAAGTTCTATGTAATTGGCGTTTTAGGAAAGCCTCGGCACCCGTAAATAGTCATCGCGCCATTAACGTTACTACCCCGTTGCCACCGCTGTTGATTTATCTCTTCTGCATTTACGCTATTTGTCGTGGATGTGTTGCACCAACCCAAAGCGCAAAGTCTTGATATGAAGTAAGACTATCTGGACATCACATTTTATGAATGTGGTAGAGCAGATGACTTAACTTTGCTGTGTTGGTTATTACTAACTTGAAAGAATCTCGGTAGAATGTGGTTGGAATCACATTTTAATTAGCAGATGATCAATGTGCCTACAAGAGAAGCTTCGGTCCATAAGAAAATCATCTGATAATTATCCTATGCTGAATTCGCAGCATCGAATCATATCGGCTTAGAGGGTTGTCCTTTCAAAAGCATTGGATGTAGCATGTGATAGTGATATTTGATATCTTGATGTGCACTGCAACCTAGTTTGCATCTCCAGAGAGAATTTCATGGAGCTGGATCACAAGCTAGGTACTGCCCGTCACGGTTGAATTCACATGGAAGATGAGGAGAAAGCATCGTGTTGAGTTGCGCTAGCTATGACTTCATCGTCGATACAATTGCAAAGATCAGTGCCAGGAACGTTGTTTAGAGACCTGATATATCAGGCCTCGGATAACTGTCGCCTGAGTCGCCTGGTATCTCTGTTTAAATGTACGAGTCAACCCCCTTTCTCTTCGCCTTTTCCCGAGTTATCAATGTTTAATTTTAACCAATAAAGTTTCACTAATTTCTTCCACAGCGCGAGC